TTAAGAGTGATGTTCGTGTTACATAGACGGGGTAGTTTTGTAGGTTGGTAGTTCTTCCCATACAGCGACAGAAATGTAAGTCTAACATCAGCAAAGCAGTATTATATAGTTGCAGCAGTTCTGGTGAGAGATGAGTACAGTGGCAGAGATGTTAGTTTAACAAAAGTGGGTCAGTGTTGTATCTTTTCAGTTCTTGCGATACGATGACAGAAATGATAGCCAGATATTAGAAAGGTAGTGTTGCCTGTCGGTAGTTCTTGGAATACGGCGACAGAGATGTTGGTCAAAGATTAGCAGCGCCGAGTTGTATGCCAGTAGTTCTTGTGATACGGTGACAGAGATGTTTGTCTAAAATTAGTGGGGCAATGTTCTATGCTGGTAGTCCTTGCAAAACTGTGACAGAGATTTTCGTTTAACATTAGCAGGGCAGTGTTGCATGTCGGCAGTTCTTGAGATTCAATGAAGGAAATTTTCATCAAATAGTAATGGGGCAGCATTGTACTTTGGTAGTTCTTGCAAAATGGCAGCAGAAATGTTAGTCAAAAGTCAGCAGGACAATATCATATGTTGGTAGTTCATGCAATACAGTGACAGAGATATACTACGCGGGCAGTGACGTATGTTGGTATTTCTTGCATTAATGTGATAGAGATGAAGTCTAACCTTGCCGGCCCTCTAAGCCCACGTCTCCCTTCTGTCCTGGTAATCCTGGCATTCCTGGGATTCCAATCCCCCCCTTTGTGCCCTTTTCTCCTGGGGTGCCCGGAAAACCAGGCAACCCCGACTGACCCTGCAAGAGAGAGAGAGAGAGAGAGAGAGAGAGAGAGAGAGAGAGAGAGAGAGAGAGAGAGATAAGTGTTTCTCATCCAACAGTGGCAATGCAATGGAAATCAAACTAGGAACTAACATACGTACTGAACCAAACCCGCACAAAAGCTGATAATAGTGCATATTTATACGCACTTCAGCACACTCACGCTCTGTCACTCACTCAGCATCTCATAAACACACATGAACTTACATACACACAACTGCAAACACACGCACTGATATATGCAAGACATGATAGTATACACAAGACACAGGTTCCAGGGTGCAGAGACGAGACTTGGGGACCACGGTTTGAGACCTATTTTACCTTCTCTCCCTGGGGCCCGGGTAACCCAACACCTGGCTCTCCTGCATCTCCTTTTGCCCCCTTTTCTCCAGAAGAGCCTGGGAACCCGGGGTGACCAGGTGTGCCAATCGTACCTTTAGAACCTTTTGGTCCCAGTGGGCCTGCAACAAACAAATCAACACCTGTACCCAAACTCCAAAGATGCACAACATAACACTGATGATCAATGAGCAAAGTGGTTATATATGCTAGATCCCACTTATACTGTTACCACAGAGGGTTGAGTGCACAAGAAGCCACTGAAATGTGTACAGTTACACACACATTTGTGTGTCCTACCTGGTAGTCCCATTTCCCCAATGCTGCCTTTAGTTCCAGGTGCTCCAGTGCTTCCTGGGTCTCCTGGTATTCCAACATCACCTTTCAGTCCTGGAATGAATTAACAGCAGAATCCAATGCATCACTTCATACAGAAAAAACGTTACAGTGATTCTCCACAGGTGAGGAATGCCCTACAGGTGCTGTACCTGGCTGTCCAGGGAGCCCTGGCTCTCCATCTTTCCCTGGCACTCCGGGAGTCCCAGGCTGTCCTTGGTATCCTTTTTCTCCCGTTGGTCCACGATCACCTGTCGGGACGAATATGAGCAGTGATGTCCTCTACCTGTACGTTAACGTGCAGCATAAATTTACAGACTGTTTGAACTACTACATACATCCCGCTCACAGCTCTGTTCATTCAGAGTCAGAGGTAAAGGCAGTTTATCAGTCCCATACAAAAGCAGAACCTTCCAGAATCTGTCTACTCCCTGCACTAACCCCCTTTCCGCCACCAGCAAAAAATGTATCTGGACAATTTTTTTAGTCTTACACTTTCAAAGATTGTGAGATCAGAGATTTCAAATCTCATTTTTTTTAATAACCTTTCAGAAGACATTATTAGCTTGTTTTACGTTAAAGTTCACGTATCAAGTGAAATTTTCACAAACTCCTGAAATGAATTCAACTAGCTCACTGTGCTGGAATAAATTTTGTCTCATTTAGCACAAAAGTCAGAAAAACTTAAGTGTAAATTTAGGATGAAAATATTTGCTGGGATTGACTTTTTTTTGGAGTTTTACCGGCCCTCATCCCCATCCACTGTCCTCCGCACTTCACCCTACTCACCCCACCCCCCCACGCAGGCGTACCTCTGTCCCCAGTGTCTCCCTTCTCCCCCTTCATGTGGTCCATGTCCACCTTCGTCATGCTGCCTGGAGGACCCTGGAGGCCCTGCTCTCCTCTGTCTCCCTTGGGGCCCGTTCCGCCAAACTCCCCCCTGGGGCCACTGGGCCCAGGATCACCTGTAAAACCAGGCAAACGCACATGTACCCAAATACCACAGAAGGGAAGCAGTACTCCACAACAGTACCTCAACACCAGACTCAAGCACTCACCTCTCGGTCCTGGGGCGCCGGGACTTCCAGGAGCTCCCTGGTATCCGGGGGTCCCCGGCGTTCCTATCACACCCATCTCCCCCTTCGGACCTGAAGATGACATGTGACACCACATCCCAATAACGGTCTCTCACCAAGAAAGATGCAGAATCAGCTACTCTACAAAACACAGCCTGACTGATTTGATGAGTCTGGCCGATAAGAATTCAGTGGACCACAGACTTGTTTTTGATTACCAGCAGTCTGATTAGTATTTTATTGCTGTATTAATGACCTGAATTGTAGTACACTCTGCCTTTTTCTGCTTACTTGCACACCGATTGAATTACATTTGATTGCAGTCTACAGTGCCTGACAAAAGTCTTGTCACTTATCCAAGTTGCAGGAACAACAAATAATAACCTGACTTGTAGTTGATCAATTGGAATCAAAAAATGGCTTATATGAAAGGCAAACCCTCTAGATTATGCGAAATATACCAAAATAGAGTTTTGTGTCATTCATTGAGTTTTATTATTTAATTAGTACAGAAAGGTCAGATTTTGCTTGGACAAAAGTCTTGTCATTTGAAAAAAAAATGTGGAAATTATACATACACTTTATTTTGAATACACAAATATGCCACCATAATATTCGAACATAAATTCATGGTGCCTTGGAAAAAAGAATTAATATTGCGTATGACTCCCATGAGCTTGGAGGACTGTATCCATACGTCTTGGTAATGACTGAGATAACTTGATGATGAAATCATCTGGAATGGCAAAGAAAGCAGTCTTGCAGGACTCTCAGAGTTCATCAAGATTCTATGGTTTCATCTTCCAAGCCTCCTCCTTCATCTTACCCCTGAAATGCTCAATAATGTTCATGTCAGGTGACTGGGTCGGGCAATCCTGGAGAACCTTCACCTTCTTCGCTTTCAGGAACTGTGATGTGGAGACAGAAGTATGAGAAGGAGCAGCAGTATGAGTCGGGCAGCAAGAACTTCTTGATATTTCAGGCTTTTGATGTTGCCATCCACTCTGCAGATCTTTCTCACCCCCATTTCTCATCTTTCTCTGGGAGAATCTTGGGTCCATGAGGGTTCCAACAGGTCTTGTACGGCGACTGGGATGCAGTTCAATGGATGATTAATCAGAAAAATAAACTTTCAGCCACTTTTCCAGTATCAATCCTTTCTGCAAGCTGTGGGCCTTGGCAAATGCAATGCAGGTTTTTTGTTTTCTGTTTAATGCAGGCTTCTGTGTACTAATTCGGCCATGAAAACCACTTTGAGAGAGAATTTGACAAACTCTTCTTGTAGAGACTGGGATTTTTGGTGACATTTCCTAATGTAGCTTTGCTGTAGTTGAAGAAGGGCTAGCCTTGTACAGTTGAAGCAACAAACGGTCCTTTCAAACAGTTGTCATACCGGGGTCTGTCTGACCTGCACTTGCCACAAACATCACCAGTTTCTTCAAATATTTTTCTTATCCCCTCCACTTGACATTTGGATACATTAAAGATGTCTGCCACCTCAGCAGCAGACTCAGTCTTCAGGCTCTTGATGATCAGCACTTTGGTCTGTGGTTGAATCTTGGGCATGTTGCCAGAGGTCTAGTCGCACCTCATATGAAAGTCTGGTGTGCTGGGGTTATTTCTATTTACATCTGGGAATGTGTTAATTACAGTATTTGTCATAGGTTAAACTCTAATCTGTGATCTGTCGCATCATCTGAAGAGACGACAAGACTTTTGTCCCAGCAAAAACACGTTATGGGCTTTGCCAGGCTGAGAACATCAGAACCCTTTTTGACGGTTTCATTTTGCACCAAATTATTAATGTGAAAGCCCTTGACATTAAAATGGACCATTTTAACAATTGATTGGTTAGAAATAAAGTTATATGCTATTTTTAGTTACTAGGTCTTTATGTGACAAGACTTTCGTCAGGCACTGTAAGTTGCATTTGACTAGTCTGACTTAAAATTGATTACATTTTCACTGTTACATTTAACAGTTTGAAGGCTGACTGACTTACATATAATTATGGTCCCACTGAGCTGAATTTGATTACAGCCTGACTGGCTTGAATTCGATAACAGCCTGACTGATATGATTTTGATTATGGCCTGACTGACTTGAATTTGATAATATTCTGACTGACGTGCATTTGATTGCAGTCCGTCTGACATTCATCCGACTACGATCAAGATGAGATGAGAGATACTTTATTAAACTCTGTGGGGTAATTTTTTTTCTGCATTTGACCCATCCTAGTAAATTAGGAGTAGTGGGCAGCCACAGTGCAGCACACAGGGGCCAACTCCAGTTCTAAAGCCAGAGCTTTGGTCAGGGGCACTGGAAGGAGTGTTTCCATTGGGCGTTTTACAGGGTTGGGGGAAACCACAGTATTTGGGGAAACCCGCACAAACACTGGGAGAACATGCAAAGTCTACACAAAGAGGTCCTGGCCAACCAGAACTCGAACCTGGGATCTCCTTATTATGAAGCACTAGTGCTAAACACTGCGCCACCGTGCCGTGCCATTCAAACTGACTGACTTGCAATTAATTGCACTCTGATGGCCTAAAGTAACTGAATGACTTTCGGTTTTTTACCACATGCAGAATGTACAAGTCATGCCTCTTACAGGGGTCACATTTCAGTGCAGATGAACTCACCTTCCTGGCCTGGAAACCCATCTTTTCCGACAGGACCCACTCTTCCTGGAAGGCCTTTAGATCCTGGTATTCCGGGGAACCCCACACTACCCTTATCTCCCCGAGGTCCTGGCATGTCCAGCCCCGGCAGGCCGGGATACCCCTTCTCCCCCTTCTCTCCCACATTTCCTGTCAAGGCATGTTACCCGTCACACAGCTGATCTTCAACTGACACCAGCCATGTGCTCTTCTTCTGGAATTTTCCAGCATCAGTCAAAAAAAAGAACACCTTCTTTTTTTAAATGCAGAGCAGTTGCAGGACTTACAGGAGCACAGAAAGTAACAAGTTTTATACAAAGTTTTGTAGGGAAGAGGTCTTTACAGGTGAGGCTGTATTATGCACAGATGAGAATAGATGTATCTACAGGTGATTCTGTTCAGTTTAAAGTTAAAGATGATAGAATGGATGTCTCTACAGGCGAGTCCATTTTGTTTAATGTTACAGATGAGAGAATAGATGTATCCATACGTGAGTCTGTTCAGTTAAAAGTTAAAGATGATAGAATGGATGTATCTACAGGTGAGCCTGTTTTGTTTAATGTTACAGATGAGACAATAGATGTATCAACAAGTGAGTCCGTTCAGATTAATGCTACAGATGAGAGAATAGATGTATCTACAGGTGAGTCTGCTCAGTTTAATGCTACAGATGAAATAATAGATGTATCTACAGGTGCGTCTGGTCAGATTAATGTTACAGATGAAATAATAGATGTATCTACAGGTGAGTCTGTGCAGATTAATGTTACAGATGAAATAATAGATGTCTCTACAGGTGAGTCTGCTCAGTTTAATGTTACAGATGAGAGAATAGATGTCTCTACAGGTGAGTCTGTTCAGTTTTAATGTTACAGATGAAATAATAGATGTCTCTACAGGTGCGTCTGCTCAGTTTAATGTTCTAGATGTCTCTACAGGTGAGTCTGTTCAGTTTAATGTTACAGATGAGAGAATAGATGTATCTACAGGTGAGTCTGTTCAGTTTAATGTTACAGATGAAATAATAGATGTCTCTACAGGTGCGTCTGCTCAGTTTAATGTTACAGATGAGAGAATAGATGTCTCTACAGGTGAGTCTGTTCAGTTTAATGTTACAGATGAAATAATAGATATCTCTACAGGTGTGTCTGTTCAGTTTAATGTTACAGATGAGAGAATAGATGTATCTACAGGTGAGTCTGTTCAGTTTAATGTTACAGATAAAATAATAAATGTCTCTACAGGTGAGTCTGCTCAGTTTAATGTTACAGATGAGAGAATAGATGTATCTACAGGTGAGTCTGTTCAGTTTAATGTTACAGATGAAATAATGGATGTCTCTATAGGTGTGTCTGTTCAGTTTAATGTTACAGATGAAATAATAGATGTCTCTACAGGTGCGTCTGCTCAGTTTAATGTTACAGATGAGAGAATAGATGTCTCTACAGGTGAGTCTGTTCAGTTTAATGTCACAGATGAAATAATAGATGTCTATACAGGTGCGTCTGCTCAGTTTAATGTTACAGATGAGAGAATAGATGTCTCTACAGGTGAGTCTGTTCAGTTTAATGTCACAGATGAAATAATAGATGTCTATACAGGTGCGTCTGCTCAGTTTAATGTTACAGATGAGAGAATAGATGTCTCTACAGGTGAGTCTGTTCAGTTTAATGTTACAGATGAAATAATAGATGTCTCTACAGGTGCGTCTGCTCAGTTTAATGTTACAGATGAGAGAATAGATGTCTCTACAGGTGAGTCTGTTCAGTTTAATGTCACAGATGAAATAATAGATGTCTATACAGGTGCGTCTGCTCAGTTTAATGTTACAGATGAGAGAATAGATGTCTCTACAGGTGCGTCTGTTCAGTTTAATGTAACAGATGAAATAATAGATGTCTCTACAGGTGCGTCTGTTCAGTTTAATGTTACAGATGAAATAATAAATGTATCTACAAGTGCGTCAGTTCAGATTAATGTTACAGATGAAATAATAGATATCTCTACAGGTGAGTCTGTTCAGTTTAATGTTACAGATGAGAGAATAGATCTTTCTACAGGTGAATATATTCATTTTAATGTTACAGACGACAGAACAGATCTCTCTGTAGGTAAGTGTACACAGGTGAGCTCACCAAAGGGGCCAGGTAAGCCCTGTTGACCCTTGGCCCCAGGTGGCCCTGGCTGGCCGGGTCCAGGGGGGGCCAGGAGGCCCCTCAAATCCTTGCAGCCCTGGGGGACCTGATTCACCTGAAAGCAGCAGACAGTTGCGTCAAGCAGCATATAACATATGGATAGCTGTGCTCCCAGCTAACATGGAATGTTCTTGCAGTGTTTCGGGAATGTTTTGTAAATGTATAACATTTTCACAATGAGGCCATTTTTTCATGTTTCATCTCAACTGGGTAAAGGCCCATTCACACCGGGGCGGAGCGGAAAAGCGACATGGATTTGTGGAATATTCGCAGCACGAAAATTCCACGCTAAACCATTCACACCGAACTCGGTGCGAAATTTTGCGTTTTTGTGTTCCAATTACGCACAGCGCAAAAACAAATTCTCGAGTTATAATTTAACCTAAATGAACCATGATAGCAGCAGCAGCAGCAACGATGACATTGTTTGTATGTATCTGAACCATAACATTAGCCTCGCAGTCTACTTTTGCACTGACGTAGCCAACGAACGTTTTCCTTATTGATGTCCGGACCGGGGGCTGTTTCAATAAACTTAACTTGTCCAACCCAGATGAAGTTTCGTCATAATTTGCACCTCAGCGACGCACAGCTTTGTGATTTGGTGCACAAATATTCAACATATGAAAACGTTAATCGGAAAAAAAAACTGTGATTAGCTAGATCTCAAACTACTATGAATAAGTAAACTAAATGCGCACATAGCTATAAGATGTCACGTTAAATTTCAGTGTTAACTGAATACAAGCTATCCAGCTAATCAAAAGGTTCAAATGCTGTGACATCAATAAAAACAAATCATTTCATTGGCTAAAAGTACAATTTCAAGAGGCGGATTTTTAAGAGAAGCTTAAGTCCCGCGGATGTTTTTTCTGCCACACGGAAATTCCACCTTGGTGTGCAAGCTTACATTAGAGCCCATAGCTCCTAAAAAAATCCGTGGGAATAATCCGCATGGAAATCCGTGCTTGGTGTGAATGGGCCTTAAGTACCCTAATTGGACAGCCTAGTGCTGAAAGTTCTTAATTCACATTGTTGTACACTGTGAACCATGAGGTAAGGATGAGAAAATGTCTTTTATAGTTACCAAAAATTATTTTCTTGATTTTCTCTAAATGGGTATCTTGTGACTGAAGTACCTTAAGCACTGGAGTCTTCAATTAAGCAACAGTAAGAATATTCAAATTAATGTGCAGTACACAAATACAGAGTATGAGGCAGTGCATTATGACTTCATAACTGCAGTCAGGGAGCAGTGGTTTCGAGGTGCATCGTACCTTTGATCCCCTGAGGTCCTGCAACTCCTGTTGGTCCCTCTCGCCCCGGGATGCCTGGCAAGCCCACGGCTCCCTTCTCTCCTGGGAATCCAGGGACCCCCTGAGGCCCCATCGTGCCTTTAACTCCTGGAAGACCCCGCCCTGGTTCCCCCTGGAAACGATGAGAGAATTCATTAGAATGCAGACAGCAACTCATACTTTCTGTACATCAAAAAACACCGATAATGTGCCCCAGCATTCAAGACCCCCTCAGCACACGTTTGTAAGGATACTGCGGCACCTAGTGGTGCAAACATGCAATACAATGTGCATGCGCATTTTGTAAGTTGATTACAGACACACACACACACACACACACACACACACACACAAATGGACGCAAGGACAGATGGACATACATGACGACAAAACCCCCTCACAAAATTGTTTTCTGAGAAGATAAAAATAAGTCTCTCCAAAAAGATTTAATTCTTATACACTACCAGTCAAACGTTTTTGCACACCCCAATATTTTCTGTACTAATTGTTACAATTTTGTATATTTTATTCTTGTGTAATAGTCTCATATTGGTTGTATAACAGAAAGGTAGGAAAACTGAAGCCCAATGTACAATCCATGTATATAACAAAACAAATTAAGAAAAACCAGGATCAGTCATTTTGTCAATATTTAAGCAAATTAGTAGCGATGGTCTAATCCAGTGCTTCTCTTACCTCTCCTGGAGGACCACCTGTCCTGCATGTTTTAGATCTCTCCCTGCTCCAGCACAGGTGATTCAAATGATCTACTCATTATCAAGCAGATTTGGGGGGGGGATAGCGAGCTGATCATTTCAATCACCTGTACTGGATTCCTGGTGGATTTTTCTTGTAAATTTGTTATTTGTAATAAACAAGTACTGGGTTCCAGTGATTTCTTTGTTGAAAACATACATGTAAGATAAAGACTTGACAAGATCTTAGGGTGTGCAAAAACTTTTGACTGGAATTGTATGCAAAGTAAAATCACCATAACTGTTGCTTTTCCGCTAAATAAGTAAATAGCCAGAGATATAAGACCATTTTGGCTGTTTAAAATTTGCCAACAGGGAAAGAATATTTTACTTGTCAAGCAAGCAATAACTTAACAAACAAAAATGTCCTACTTATATTTCCAACTTTAGAAAATTTAATTTCTAGAAATTTTAAATTGCATTACAGGATTAAAACACTTGATAAGACAGACACTTTTTTGCAGTGAGGAAGCAAGCCCCTAATTTCCTGGAGTTGCTGTAAAAGAATCTTTAACCATCCTTCCTACACATTGTAAAAGGGTGCTACTGGATGGCTATTGCTTGGACCCGTACTTGTCCAACCTAAATCACACACA